AGCTGGTTGAAACAGCATGGTGAAGAGCAGCGAAGACATGCTCCCAGCTAGGGGGCCCCGCGAGTCGCACGCCCATCGCACGGGAAAGGCCAACTGCAGTGCATAAGCCACGGCGCCCATGGCACAGCAAGCAACAAGCATACGCAGCTGCGAACTTGCTGGGGCAACGAACCGTGAAATGGCGAGGGGGCCGAGGCCACGCCAAACAGAGCGGCCGGGCGTCTGCACGGTCGACCGTCACCCGTGGTGCAAGCCTGGGGCGAGACATAGCGGACGTGTAACCCGGTGCCAAAAATCGCGGGCGTGTAACCCACTGCGGAACATGCAAGAGGAGGACCATGGAGGCGGGAAGGGAGAAGATCTGACCACGACGAGCGTCTCGACCGCATGACAAGGCCTTCCGGCTGGTCCCGAATCACAACTGCACCGCGGTTGACACGGTGAGGAAGGGAGGGGGGGGGGGCGGAGGACGGAAGGAGAGGGGGCAACTGTGAGGGGGCCCTGGGACACACAAATAAATGAATACCCTGGCGCGCGGACCGCGCCATGGGCGGCGCTGGAAGCGCCGCCGGGGGGCCCCAGCGCCGATCCGAGAAATCCGCGCGGACCTCCGAGTTTTTATGTTTATGTCACTTTTCCTCCCCCTAATGGAATAGCGCACTGCGACCTCAGACCGTCCAGCCGGCAGGGCGCCTTGCGGGCTGCCGCCCGAGGCGGAGACGCGCACCCCGCAGCGAAGAGCCATGCTGGCAAGGCTCTGGCCGCCCCACCCACGCCTCGCATACGCCAGGCGGTGGGCGGGCACGTCGCGCCCCCCCCCCCCCCGCCGGGGGTTTCCAACCTCGGGTTCCGGAGGAGGAGGAAGAGGAGGAGGAGGAGGACGAGGAGGAGGAGAGGAAAAGAAGGAGGAGCAGGAGGAGGAGGGAAACATCCTTCGAAAATCAATGCCCGTCACTGCGCCTGGTGGGCCTGCAAACAGCAGGCCTTACGCCGCCACTTCCGCTGCCGGGTTTCCAACCTCGGATTCCGGGTGACAATTTCAGAGGGCATCCAGACGGGCCCTCTGGCCAGCATGGGTGCTGGCGGCTCACGCACGAGGGCATGGGACGCAGCAGTGTCGATGATGAGAAGGGCCACCTGGAGAATGGTGATCCTCGCCGCGTGATCCGGGAGTGTCGCGGCTGCACCTGTCCATTGCTCGCGTCATCCCCGACTCAGCGTCGAACCATGCCCCTGCCCTGGTGTGGTTGGCAGACTCGCCTCAACCGTGCGTCGTCTCCTGTGGCCTTGTGCAGGAGCTGGTCCATGACCGTGTTGGCGGGCTCACTGCGGTACGCAGTCGTCTGAAGCTGACGCCGCCGCAGATCTTCCACCACGCGGTACAGCACGTAGTTGGTCAGCGCCTGTCGCTGCAGTTGCGCGTCCGTCGTGACTGACGCGAGCATCCCCCGCAGCCCTGCATCATCGCATGTTGTGTCATAGCCCATGCACGGCGTCTCCTTGACCACGTCTGGCCCAAAGGGCAGCGAATGTAGTGCTCCACGGAATCGTCGGCTGAACACGAGCACCCAAGTATGCAGATATGTTCGGCCCTCCCGAAAAGACCGCATTCGACGATCTGTCGCCCAGCGATTGAAAATAGTACTGAACATGGCTGCCCGTATCTTGGGCGGGACAAATCGTTTGACGCGCCCCAAGTACTGGACCACGCGCCGGGCCGAGCGTCCTCGCAGCTGTGGCCCAGCGGAGGCCAGCCTCTGGCGGTCTGGTGGGAGGGGCTCGGCTACCAGGCGCCCCCGCAACGGCCCAGTGCCCGGTACCGGACGATGCGCAAGCGGGGGTGGCGAAATGGGGCGCGTCTACTCCTACTCTTCGATCCTCCTCCTCCTCCATCCCTCTTCCTCAACAAAGATAACTCATCCCCGTCGCGCCCCCAGACGTGTCGGTGGGACGGTCCGGCGTCTCGCCTGAGAGTTCCTCACCATTTATCATTCTGGAGCTTGTAATTTGCATCAGCTTCACGGATGGAGGGCGGGTGGTTTTCAAACTGTGGTTTTCGCTTGAGCGCCACACAACTTGGCTTTCAATAGTTGCAACAACTTCACTGATGGATGGCCTTTTTTTCGAAAAGGTGGCTCTTACCTGGACGCCGCGCACATTCGTCTTAAACAGGTGAAGCTGTTTTAAAGAAGGGGGTGGCTCTTCTTCAACATGCTGCTTTCGCCTTGCCGCCCAGCACATTCATGTTGAACGGTTGCAACAGTCTCCAGGACTCCCATAATCGAAATCCCAAGAGTGGCGTTCTGGACATATTCATGACTGCCAGAACGCAACAATCATGCTGATTCGCCGCGTTGAAGTCCCAGGAATGGTGTTCTGGCGCCGCATAATGCTGCTAGGACGCAAGGAACTGCGACACTGTCGTCCCAGGAACTGACTTCTGACATGATTGAGGATTCTTAGACGCTTGTCTTCCTATGGGGCATTTGCCGCAGTGCTGATATATTCTTGTCAGGCCCTATGAAGAGGGAACTTTGAAGGAGGTTTTACTACAACGTCGTTGGTGTGTATTGGGTTCACAATGGTCTACGACCCTCCTACTCTACAGTCAAAACTGGTAGTAAGGATGCGTGATAAGGATGCAGGACCCATGCACGTCCATGTCAAAGCTTTTCGAGCGGGGATGGCAATCGCAAGAGGTGCAGGATGGATCGAGGAGGCAGGGGTGCAGTGGTGCCCTTGGGAGGGCTACCAAACTGTATTATCGGTTTCGACTGCACGATCCTCGATCCTGCTCGCTTCGTGGTCCCATGGGGCTTAGTGGGCCCTGGAAACGACAGGGCCGTTTTTTTACCGGTTCCGTTCTGCCGTTTTTTTGCCGCTTCCGACGCCGTTTTTGTTTCCTTGTTCCGTCGCCGTTTTTTGACCGGTTCCGGCTCCGGTTCCAGTCCTGGAGCCGTCTTTTTGACGTTTCTGGTCGCCGTTTTTTTTGCCGCTTCCATGTTCAAGGAATAATTTTCTGGAAACGGTGAAAAAAACGGCCCTGCCGTTTCCGGGGCCCACTAAGGTGCAGGATGAATCCAGGAGGCAGGGGTGCAATGGTGCCCTTGGGAGGGCTACCAAACTGTATTATCGGTTTCGACTGCACGATCCTCGATCCTGCTCGCTTCGTGGTCCCATGTAGTGCTCAACCGAAGCCCCCGGCTTCGGTTGAGCACCCCATGGTACCCTTAAGGTACGAGCCATGTGGTGCGCCCAGCGCGCGGGGCGCCCACCAGACGCCCCCCCTCCTCCTCCTCCTCCTCCTCCTCCTCTCCTCCTCCTCCTCTCCTCCTCCTCCTCCTCCTCCCTCCTCCTCCTTCTCCTCCTCCTCCTCCTCCTCCTCCTCCTCCTCCTCCTCCTCCTCATCCTCCTCCCTCCTCCTCGATCCTCCTCGATTCTCCTCGCTCCTGCTCGGCCCTCGACCTTCAAGCCTCGGCCCTCGAGCGGCGTCGGCGAGGCAGGAGCCGCGCGGCGGCGCGGGCGGGCAGGAGCTCCGCTGGGTCGCGGGCGGCAGGCGCCGCCGCGACAGCGGCGCAGGCCGACGCCGACGGCGGCCCCTGACCCCAAACTCCGCAGCCGGCCCACTAAGGGAGCGAGAAGGAGCCCAGGAGGGATGTGGGAAGGACGAAGAGAAACTGTCGGGGAGGACAAATCGAGAATCTCTGACATCCAGCGTCTCTGGAGGCTGTTTCGGGCGCCGCGGCGTTCTCATAGCGTTCTGGTACTCTGTAACGGGTTTATCCTCGTCCTAGCCCCATCCTGTAGGGGGGAAGGCTCGGAAGTCCTACGGCCTCCTCAGAAGTTCTCTAGTCTTCCCCGAAGGCACAGGAAACTTCTCAGAAAGCGCAAGGGCCTCTGAGAATTCTCTCTGCCTTCTGAGAAGGCATTCTCCCTCTCACTTCCCCCTCTCGCTCACCGTTTTCGGCCTCTTGGGGCCCTCACTGGGCCTCGGGACCGTCCTCATGCTGCCCGGGATGAAAACCGGTCCCGGGGAAGTGGTCGAGAGGTCGGGGCTGGGGACCTCCTTCGGAAGCCCGGAGGGTAACTGGAGCTGTCCTGGGGCGGTCTTAAGGGCTCTTGGAAGACGTTGGAAGCTATCTTGAGCCATGTAGGGCTATCTTGAGCGATTTTGGAAGCCCTTGTGGAGCCATCTGGGGCCGTCTTGGACGCTCCACTGACCCGCGAAACGCCCCATCCAGACCCAGAAGGACGGGGGCCCGTGTCCCGAAAGGATCGAGGCGCTGGATGGCTGGCGTCGGGAGGCGTACCCCCGCGGCTCCCCAGCGGCTCGGGCGTAGGAAGCTGACCCCGAGCCGCCCGAGGCGGCCCCCAGAGGCCCCCAGTGGCGCAGGCTACGGATCTACAGTCGGGGCCCTGAAGAAGGAACCCTTTTCGTTGGGGAGGGGCTCCGCGTTCCTTAAGTGTTTCACAGCTTGCCTCAGGCTTTCCTTATGTTTTCGATAGGAAATCGAAGTTCAACTTATGGAACAAAGGGGCCTCGTTCCTTATTTGGGGTTCCTTAGGTCAACGCCCCGACTGTACAGCGCTGAGGTGAGAGGAAGTCCCAGTGGGCCGAAACGTCGCCATTTGCAAGACATCCGTAAAGTGGTAGCGGCCTTGCATGTCTACGAACGGTGGTACGAAACGTTGGGCGCCGGACATCTCGCCCCATACGAGGGAAACTGTATTGGGGAAGTTCGCGTGGGCATTGGCTTGTTGTCCGATGGAGGGCACTGAGCAACCGACGCTTTGATTCGCAGCCTCTCTCTCTCTCTCTCTCTCCTCTCTCTTTCCCAGGGTCTCTCCAAAGCCTACCTCTTCCCCATCCATCTATTCACCTTTCTCCTTTTCTTCCCTCCTCGTCTCCGTTTCCTTCAATATTCTCCCTCCCCGACCAAACCTGCTCTCATCTTCCATCGCAAGCTGCCCTCCATCTTTACAAGCTGGCAGAGAGCCCCTCAGCCGGCGGGGGCCAGGTTCATTGGCTTGACGCTCTTGCGCTCAGTCCCAATGAGCACCTCGGACAGACGACAGCGAGGAGAGAAGAGCAGGGGCAGTCTCAGCAGTTCAATCGCACCACAGCGCTCCTCACATGATCTCTCCGAGGCTGCTTAAAACAGCGGCAAGTGATAAACATGCAGTAGCCCAGGACTCTGGTACACATGGGGAGAGAGAGAGGGATGAAGACAACACAGGGCGTTGTCGACAAATCCGCCTGGGGAGCAAATGCAAACACATGGCCCAAGGGCGGCCTGAAACGCGCATTTGCAATGATTGCTCTCTGCCCCCTGTCAGGCGGAGATTCGCTTCCACATCTTACCGCTTATTGCCTACACGATCTTATTATGAGTGGCCTTTGGGAACCTGTTGCGCCGAAGCTTTGACCCCTCGGTCGCAAGTCATCGCACTCATGTCTTTATTTGTGCGCGCAGAACAGAACGCTGATTTTGCAGCAATCGCTGGATGCTGTCGTATGCAAAGTATGGACTAGACCAGATCTGTCTTCGCACTACAACCCGCAATCCGCCAAGGCCAGTCCAGCACCACGCCCTCCGAAAGTTTGGGCGTGCACGGAATGACTCTAAGCAGTTTGGTGGATCGTCTGTATCTTATCATTGGCGACCCCCCATGCTCGCGACAATGTAGAAGCACTGCGCCCTGTAAGTTTGCTAGCAGGCGCTTCTCACTGCCCAATGACCAAATATCGCTGGAATGCGGCTGACACGAGCTACAATATCACCGCCAAGTTGTCAACATATCTAACAGAGGCCTCATAACGCCCCAGCGCGCCCTGAGAGAGACCCAGGATAGCCCAAGAGGAACCCGAGAGGCCCCACCGTCGTTGATGTTCGATGCGTTTTGTGCAGACGGTGGCGTCAAGCATACTTCCTGAATCCACTGGACGACTCCTAAATGCTCAAATGCCTCCCCCAAGACGGCTCGAGAAAGGCCCCAGGCGACGAAAAGACCACCCAAACGAAAGCTTCACGCAGGTGCCATCTCCTGGGCATGACCCCCAGACGACTCTGCCAGGCCTTCTTCAGGGGAACTCGGCGACACCGTCGCGCCTAAGGCTATTGGACAGTCCAGCTGGCCGGTGGAGACTTGCTATACCGATCCTGTTTTTCGGACCCCTGTGGAACAATGGTGCGTGCAGCATGTCGGTGCTGTATTGGCACGGTGACGGATGTTCCGCAGGCAACTCCATAATGCCCGTCAACCGATCGAGCAGCATGAACACGGTCTGGACATGCACCGGGCAGGAATCGCATCATTACGCACCGCGAACATACTCACGTAAGGAACATAACAATGCATCCCAGACGGAAACCTTCATCGACATGAGATCGAGAGGACCATGGTGAGGCTGTCAAGCAACCGATGGATGTATGGTCTCGATGGCGCTTCCAGTGTTTCGGCCCTGTTGGCTGCGTACATATTATCATATGAGGCCCACTGAGCTGATCATGCTATCATGTTATCATGCTATCTGTTGCTCCAACATGTGGCGGGCCCTGGGAACCCTGAACCCATATATGTTGTCAACTCTTGGAGGGCAACTATTCACTTTCGCCGCTCTCCGCCGGCCTTCCGCCGGCTTCCGCCGGCGGAAGGCGCCCTCGCTTCGCTTCCGCCGACCTTCCGCGGCCCTTCCGCCGGGGAGGAGGTGATAACTCCCTGGATCCTCGAAGGCAGGGCCATTCTCGGAACGTCTCGTGTGTCAGGAGCGGCGCGTCCTATGCAGCAGGACGGGAGCGCGAGCGCGCTGCATGCGCCAACGACGGAGCTGGGCCACGCCAACCTTGCGGCACCAGCCGTGCTGGGACGAGCGGGCGGATCGAGCGGGAACTCGGCTCAGAAGACTGCGGCCCAGAACCAGGTCCGATCGAACCAGCCCGAATGCCTCTACGATCGGCTAACAACAAGAAGGGGGAGGAGGGGAGGAGGAGAAGGAGGAGGAGGAGGAGCAGCAGCAGCAGGAGGAGGAGCACGAAGAGGAGGAGGAGGACCCGGAGGAGGAGGAGGAGGAGGATCAGGAAGGGCCCTGGGGACGTGTTCCAAATCAAGTGGCCAACGCGAGCGCAGAAGCGGCACGCATCAAACACGGGACGACTGGCGGCAAGCCAGCGGCGAGCGGGGCATGGAGGTCTCCAGAACTGCTGCAGGGTCAGTGGTCACCAGCGCAGTGAGATCTCACTCCCTCCTCCTCCTCTTCCTCCTTCTCCTCCTCCTCCCTCCTCCTCCCCCGCCTCCTGCTCCTCCCCCGCCTCCCCCCTCCCCCCCCCCCTCCTCCTCCTCCTCCTCCTCCCCCGAGCAGGAGGCGATGGCGCACTGCAGGCGGCCATGCTGATCGGCCTCCGCGCTCGGCCACCGACCTTGCACGACTGGCACAGCCCGTGTTCCTGCCTTCTCGGCAAGCCGGTCCACGAACCGATGGGCACGGAGTGCTTCGGCGCCAAGAGGCAGGCACCCCTGCCCCGCGTCCTGCTTCGTCCCTGCCTTAGTTTCCTTGTGCTACCTGTTTCCCTGGCGCCTGCACTGCTGCTGTACCCTTTCTGCTCTTGCTTTCGCCAGAGCATGCAAGCTTGCTTGGCACCTCGCAAAGTCCACTTCTCTTCTGGTAGCCCAAGAGTCTACCGACCTGAAGGGCACCGCTGCTCTATCAGTTAAGTTGCCTGTTTGCTAGCGCTGCACATCGGGGATAATGGCACACAACTCCAAACATCTGAAGGCACCGTACGCTATGCCGCTCTGAGAACACATACTCTCACATCCCAAGCTATCAGAGTGTTCATCGCTAGCATGGCGCCGCGTCAACGCCATGTGTACACACGCGAACACGATGGGACATCCATGTTGCTGGACACGGGATACATGGATGAGCACGCCGGCTGGACAACAGCACAACCCACCACTCCATTTACCAAACATGCGAACATCTAATGCTATAGGGTGTTGGGCTCGAAGAAGCGAGAAGCGGCAACAATATGAGCACCGTGCTTCGTAAGGGACTGTTGCTTCGTGGGGAATATTTAAGGATATGTTTGAAGCTTCCTGACACGCTGGCGTGGTATGAATTCTGGGACTCCACGAGCCTTTGTTAGAACCTGCGCTAAAGTGTCTCAGAAGGTCCTGCGGACGCCATTGACTCACGGTCCACGCTCCAGCGAATCATGACAACCGAGCTTGACAGGCCGTCCTGCACCAGAGTTTGTAAGGAGGTCTCGCACAAGGCAACCCTGCATGTAAGCGTGCCTGGCAAGGGTGATGTGACCTTGTGAAAGAATCTTGGCCAGCATGGGGAACAGTGGGCAAAGAGTCCTTGGGCTGAGCGTCGGCTGCGGGGCTTGCGGTGAAGAGGGCCGCGGCAACATGCGAGGACAATGCCCAAACCAAACACACACAAGTGTCTACTTGGGCGAACCTTCGCGCCAAGCGTCGGCCATGCATGACATGTCCCTTGTCAACGGGCCCGCGCCCACATTCCCAAGATGCGAACTGCGCGCCCCCCCATCCGACGCAGGCGCGCGGGCCCGCACGTCTCATATTCCTCCTCGTCCTCCTCCTCCTCTTCCTTGTCCTCCTCTTCCGCCGCCTCCTCCTCCTCCTCCTCCTCCTCCTCCCCCTCCTCCTCCTCCTCCTTCTCCTACTCCTCAAGGCCCCAAGGGGCCCGCAGAAGAGGCGTATGAGGAAAAATACGTTGTACGAATCTGCTTCAGATGATGTTGGCTGGCTGGGCGGCTATGTAGAATAATAGCTGTTGAAAACCAAACGCCAACAACGGAACATATGGCGGCTACGGGATGCAAGCGTCATCCATATCACTGAGGCAGCGCCATGGACACAACGACAACCACGACCAGGCAACGTGGAATGCTACCTCCATGCATGCATTGTTTGACCGACCTGAAACGATGAGCAGACCTAAGCGAAACTACGCCCCAAGTGCCACTGCGCAACACGGGACCTCTCGCTCGCCGCTCACACGCGTCGTAGCACCAAAACGAGCAACCGAAGGTCCCTTTGGAACAAGTCGCATGCGTCCCAGACGCCTGGGGACTCGGAGAATGCGCCTACGGCGCAGCGGCGGACACTGAGGGCCACGTGTCCGCGTTGGCCCGAGCGTGTTGCCATCGATCGGTGCCAGTTTTTTTTTGACGTGGAGGCGCGTCGCAGGGGCGAGGGGAAGTACGCCCTCGCCCTCGGGGACCAACAGTCCTACATCGACACGCCTGACGTTCAACGATGTGACGCTGATTTGGCCAACCATGCCCAGGGACCAGGGGGGGGCGAGGGTGGAGACCATTCGCCTCGCGCCCGCCTGAGAACTGGAAAGAGAAGCCGCGGGGTGGCATGAAACAATTGTTGGAGGGCGCCCAGGGTGGCGTGACGACCACGAAATTACGCGTATGGCAAAAATGCGGCGCAAACTTGCCATGCACCATTTGATATTGATTTTGGTGATGCAAATTTGTCATGCCATTTTCATGCCGGATTCATACTGGATTCATGCCGGAATTCATGTCATGATCCATGCCGCGCGTCGCGCCGTCTCGCTGCGCAGGGGCGGGCGCCGGGGGGCGCATTCCGTCACTCCAAAGGATTGTCGCGTAAGGCTGACAAGGGGTTCGCCCCGCAACTGAAGGGGATCAGAAGGGGATGAGGACGAGGATGGGGGAGGAGAAGGAGGAGGAGGGGGAGGGGGGGGGAGAGGGGGAGGAGGAGGAGGACAAGGAGGAGGAGGAGAAAGAGGAGGAGAAGGAGGGGGTGGGAGAAGGAGGACGCAATGGTGGAGGAGGGAGACTGAACAGGGGGACGAGGAGAAGAGTTGCCAGGACTGGAAAGGGCGGAAACAATGGAGAACGACGAGGAGCAGGGGGGCAGGACGATGGGACGGAATGGGGGGCACCCCAGCAGCATGTTGGCCAGCATAGGCCCCGCACAGTGCCTTCAAGCGTGCCGACGGGTGCAAGCTACGTAGTGCGATCTACGTGAGGCAATCTATGCGCTGGACTCTATGTGGTGCACGCTATGTGGTGTAAAATAAGATGTAGCGCCCGGCAATGCTGGCCCAAGCTGGTTTTCCATCGTCGGGCGCGACATGCGTGTGCGGTGGGTCGGGTTAAGCCCATGGGCGCGCGACGTCGCCCCATCTGACGGCGCAGCACGGGGGGGGGCAACATCGCGAAATTGCGATAACAAGGCGAGCAAGGCCAACGGAGACAGAACATACAAAAAAGCGTAAGCGCCTATAAATGCCACAGGAAGACATGTCGCACGCCACGGCCAAAAGAACGCGAACGCCCAACCCCTATTGGGAACACGCGCCCAACACGATTTGCGCTGAAACCCGCAGAGAAGAACATGGCGGAATCCAGTCGCGCACAGGCACCCAGGAGCGCAAGGCGCGAACTGCCCGCATGAATTTGTCCAACAGAACTTGCCATGCAAATTCCACGCCAGTTTCATACTGGTGCTGCGTGCGCCCAAGGTCCTTCTCCTCCTCCCGTTTTCCCTCGATCCTCGACCCACGATGCCATCCGTGCAGCGCGGGAGGTGCTTGCAGTCTGCCGGCCCTGGAGGAGCGGGGGGGTCCGCACCTTGCCGTTGTACTCCGACGTGGAGGCGAGCCCACATACCCGCACCAGCTGGCCTGCTCATGACACGGACTGGGCGGGTGGGAGAGACAGCAGGTGTGATGGTGCGGGAGGTAGACGCGGAGCAGCAGGCGGACTCGGAGAGAGAGGGACGAGACAAAAGCAGGACCGACAAGCGTTGCCCACCAAGACCGACCGACAAACCTGCTGGCCGCCCGGACAACCGCATGCGGGGCCCGTGTCAAGTTTATGTGTGCGCCCTTGTCACTGCATGCCTGCCGATCACTGTCGCACCGTCAGAACAACCCGCGCAGCCAAATCTCGGCGACATGAGCCACAGAGGATGCGACATTGCAGGGAGCTGGATCATTCTCAAGCTCCCCCGCCGAATCCGCCAAGGCGAACTGCCAGGCCTGCCGTCAGGGTTCGCCGTCCCACACTCGGCGTTGGATCCCCCTCCCTGGCGCGCGGAGCGCGCCAGGGGCGGCGCTGGAGGCTCCGCCAGGGGGGCCCCAGCGCCGCTCCGAGAAATCCGCGCGGACCTCCGAGTCCTTATGTTTATGTCATTGTGAAGGGGCCCTGGGACACAGAAAAAAATAGACACAAAAAACCATATTCCCAATATTTTCCTATACTTTCTGGGTTTTTGTCTCCTTCCCCACTTCCCATATTTTCCACTATTTTCCTGGGGGGTCGACGATTAATTGTGCCTGTGTGTTTTTTTACCTTCTGAGTGTCATCGTTCGCCCCCCGATTCTCCTTCTCACGCTCCATAGATTAGCCACTCATGGACTTGGCGCGCGGTCGCCAGATCCGTGGCTCGGGGGAGGTGCCCTCCCCAAAATGCTGCCGGTGCCGCCTCGCCCGGCGGCGGAAAAATCCGCGACTTCCCACGCCACCCCTGCTCCCTGTCTGCGATCTCCTGGGTCTCTCGAGCCCCGGCCTCCTCCTTCTCACTTACAGTCAAAACGTATCTTAAGGATGCGTGGTAAGGACGCAAGACCCTTGGAGGCTGAAGTTGGGATTTTTTGGGCGGCGGCGACAAGTGAAAACGGTCAAGGACGGGCCACAGAGGCAAGGACGCAAGGGCATCCTAGATGAAGGCGCGCGTCCTTACTAGGCGCGTTGACTGCACCCCCCCCGCTCGCCGCCGGTCGGAGGGCCTGACGTCAGGGGCTGCAGCGTGGCCCCCAGGGGCATCGCGGCGGTCTGCGCCGCGGCGCCGCGGTGCGCCTCGGCGTCGCCCTCGCCGCCGGGGGCCTGTCGGCAGAGGGGGGCCCGTCGTGCCTCATGCGACATGCGACGTGGTCGGCACACAAACGGATCAACGAACTCGGGCGAGGAAAAAGTACCAGTACCTCCACCCAGTCGCCCGTTTCCCCCTTTCTGGGCCTCCTGGGAGACCCTCGTCGCCACCCCTGGATTCGCCTCGAAATCCTGGTCAGAACGCACCCTGGGAGAGGTCGGGAGGGTAGCGGTATCGGTACCTCTTGGTTTCCCCACCAGCAACACACGCTCAGACCTGCAGGGAGGAGGGACGGGGAAGGGCAAGGCGATGAAGGTGCTATAGGTATGGGTGCGAGCTGTCGGACCCCGAGGGGGGCTCCCGTTCGAGCGGACACCGTGATCCGACAGCATACCCATAGCCCCCCCGATAATTTTGCCCCAGGAATTCTGAGGGATGTACAGGTATTGGTGTTCGTTGCCAGCTCGTGACGAAACCGAGACGCTGAGGCACTGCGATGGTGGCGGCGTTGCTCGGCGGCCAGCCCAGGGGGGGAAGTGAGAGGGAGCAGGCCTTCGCGGACCGCTCGGAAGTTCCCCGTCCTTCTGAGAGGCTGTCTAAACCTTCCCCAAATGCACAGAAAACCTTTCAGAAGGCCGGAGACCTTCTGAGCACCCCGCCGCCTTCTGGGAACGCCTTCTGGGAACTTTCCCCTCTCGCTCGCCGCCGAGTAGTACTGGCAAACAAGCTACACGCCACGATGTTCTCTGACCTGGGAGGGCCTGTAGGATAATATCGGGATAATCTCGGGTAGGCTAACGTCGTTAACAACGTCACCACGCAAGGTTTGTGTAACCGCTTGCATGTTTGTGACAGGCTTGATGCTCAGTGTGGTAACAAACACGTAGCTCCCCCCACGACCCAAGCACGGTCGTAGTTTTCTCATGCTGGAATTAGGTACGGAGCTGGACTCAGTCAGTCAATCGTTCGATGTACACGAATACCTCGGGCGAATCGGCAGAACTCCGGATCATCATCACATCGCTGGCCCAACCCATCCTGAACTAAATACACGTTGTCAGCACGCATCTCTCAGAAATCCGGATCGTCATGCAAAACGCTTCGCTGGGGCCATGCTCTCATTGCATCATCAACGCCCGCCTATTATTCGGATTGCCATTCCCCGCCCTGCCCGACCCATGTAGCTTGTATCGTTCCTCGCCCCGTGATCACAACGGTGACAACGAACACTTGACAGTAGTGGAAGCCATGGCGCGCAACGTAAGCATGCGTAACACAAGTATGGCACCCGCTGGTGATAGCTCTGAGGACTGTGATACTCTACCACTGCCAGCACGACCACTAATCACACCGAACCCGTGGCGGCGGCGGCGGCTGCTGGCTAGGCCGCGACATTGAGAGGGCATGCGCAGGCCGCCGCAAACCTTCGAACAATTCGCTGCCCTCCGAGGACCTCACGGCAACACCCGCCACGATCGACATTGCAATCTGCTTCAGAATTTGCGGCATACGCTACCCCCGCGATATTTCTGATCAGGAGCCTCTCTCCGTGTATGCCTACTCTGCCCCTACCCTTTTCAATGCCATCGCCCTTCACGAGCTCCATGTTGTCATGGCTTGATGTGATCAACTGTTTTCTAGACCATTCAACCCTGCGCTGCTGAATTGCGCAACTGTACGATATCCAAAATATGTTGGCGTCAAGGCTCCTGCTCCATTCTGGCACAACCTACTCTAATCCAGCATGCTCTATCTTTACATGAAAGTAGGTCTGATTGTCTCTGGTCTGATATTTCTTACAGTGCATCGCTTGACCCTATTCTTATATTTTTCGCTACTCCAGATCGCTTTCCATGTTGGTGTATAGTCCCGCGTCCGCTTTCATTCGATCATTCGCCCCGCCCCCGCCCCCATGTGCGCGGGTTCTCCCAGGAGACAGACAGAGACAGAGCCGTGCTCCCAGGAGAGAACACATCCTCATGCCAAGCGGTCTGTGCTCATTCGCACGGTCGCGGCGGCGCGACATGGCCCCCGTCGCGGACCCTCCCGGCCTGCCCATCAACATAAACAGAAGCTCGACGCGCAGGTGCGGACAGTTTGGTGGCAACGTCTCGGGATGCGTCCCATGCCCGGGGCACGCCGAGCACCGCGCGCGAACCGGCAACGGAAAGACAAACATCCGCAACGCCGCGCTCATTTTCCGCATCTGAAATGGGATCTGGGCTGGGCGCGGACCTTGATTTGTCCAACCGTTGGTTTGCGTCCTTGATTCGAATCGTCCCTCTACTCTATACGAACAGTTATCCAGCCGAAGGACCAAACCAGATAAAAGGTTAGACCCGCACGGCAAGTGGGACGAAGAAAAGGGATCTCCCCATAGGGCCACGAAGCGTGTGAGGGGTTTTCCGGAATGGGCGGGGAGCCGCATACTGACGCACCCACTAGAGCCTCTAGTGGAAGTCCGTATGGGGCCACGAAACGTGTGAGGGTGTGCCGAAATGGGCAGGGAGCCGTACGTGGACGCAAACACACAAACACGCACGGACGCACGCACGCACTCACGCACGCACGCACGCACGCGCGCGCGCGCACACACACAACCACACACACGCACACACGCACACACGCACACACACACACGCACGCACGCACACACACACACGCACACACACACACGCACACACAGACACACACACACAGACACGCAGACATACACAAACACACACAGACATACACATACATATATATATATATCTATGCACGCGCACACACACACGCACACACACACACACACTCACACCGCTCACACGCACACACACACACACACTCATTCACACACACACACACAAACACACACACACACGCGCACGCTGGAGCCTCAGATTGAGCTCCACATTCGGCCACAAAACGAGTGAGGAGTGTGCCGGACTTGGTGGAGAGCCGCATGTGGACGCACATAGTGGGGCCTTCGGTTAAGTTCCCTATGGGGCCACGAAGCGTGCGTGGGGTGTGCCCAAATGAGCGTGGATTCGTATGTGGACGCACCCACGGGGGCCGTAGGTGGAGCTCCCTATGTGGCCACCAATCGTTTGGCTGGTGTACCGAAATGGGCTGGGAGACGCTAGGTACCCCCCCCTCCCCATGGGAGCTTAGCTCACAAAGCGATTGAGGGGTGTGCCGAAATTGAGACGGAGCAGTATGTGGACGCACACACTGGGGCCTGGAGTCAAGCTCCCTATGGGGCCACCCAGCGTGTGACTGGTGTGCCGAACAGGCCCAGAAGACACGATGCTCCTCCCCCCCTAGGGGCTTCAGTGGAATTCCCCATCGGACCACGAAGCGCGTGAGGTGGTACACTGGAATGAGCCGAGGACGCCAATGTGCCCCCTCCTCCATGGGGTCTTCTGTGGAGCTCCCCATGGGGCCGTCGAGCGTGTGAGCGACGTGCCGAAATTGGGCCGAGGGGGAGTCCCGGACGCTCTGTGCCCCCCCCCCCCCGTGGAGACATCGGTGGAGCTCCGTCCGACAGGGCCAGGGAGCGCGCGAGGCGTGCGCGCCGAAGCAGGAGGCACGCGGAGGGCAGAGGCAGGGCTGGAGGAGCGCCGCAGCGCCCCCTCCTCCTCCTCCTCCTCCTCCTCCTCCTCCTCCTTCTGCTTCTCCTCCTCCTCCTCCTCCTCCTCCTCCTCCTCCTCCTCCTCCTCCTCCTCACAGGATGGTTGGGATCGAGCGCACCGATCTTGCCAGCCCCGATCTGGCCAGAACGAGTGCGACTTGAATGAAGGGGCCCCAGGACACACAAATAAATACACACAAATGAACATACTCCCCATATTTCCTATATTTTTTGGGTTTTTGTCTTCCCCCCCACTTCCCATATTTTCCCATATTTTCTGGGGAATCGACGATTAATTGTGTCTGTGTGTTTCTTTCCCTCCTGAAACATCACAGGATGGTTGGGATCGAGCGCACCGATCTTGC